GAACTGTGGAATCTTTTGTTGTACTATATTTGTATTGCATGCCCCTCACCTTAGAAATCTCGTGCGATGCATAGCTCAATCCTTCATGTTTGTTGTAGTGGGACATAATGTTTAAAAAGAGCATGGGAAAGCCACTTGGGAGCCTGCTGGCAAGGAAGGGGTGCTTTATTTGGTATCGAGGGCCTGATAAGCACTCTTCCAATGAAGATTACACTGAGTATAGAGGAAATCACAGACGCGTGGTAATCTTGTGGAAACTTCCTGTGGAAGGCAGTTATAGCCTTAAAAGTAAACGGATTTCACACTCACCGGATACTACCAGACCAACAATTGCAGTCCTTAGGGGGGAAAGGAAAATAGCATACTTATCCTTTATACTTTATATTAGTTTGGAAGAACATGGAAACTGGGGATAGAGAAACAGAGAGATGCCAGAGGCCAGGAAACTATTTAGAAGCTTGGTTACCTTTTAGAAATTCCACTGAGAGGCTGGGCTCATTAGCCAAGAAAGTGGTTTTACACACACACATGCACATACACACACACGGAGAGAAACTGTATTAAACAAAAAGTACAGTACAGCATGAAGACGGTCCTTTGTTTTTTTATTTTTTATTTTTTTGGGTCCGGTCCTGGGGCCTGAACTCTGGGCCTGGGTGCTGTCCCTCAGCTCTTCAGCTCAAGGCTAGTGCTCTACCACTTGAGCCACAGCGCCACTTCCGGCTTTTTTCTTTTTGCTTATGTGGTGCTGGGGAATCGAACCCAGGGCCTCAGGCATGCAAGGCAAGCGGCTCTACCACGGAGCCACCTTCCCAGCCCCAAGACGGTCCTTTAATGACTAATTTCAAGAGACACAAATTTCATAGCATCTGCTGAGGAATAATGCAAAGGGTAATTTTTAAAATGGAAACGCACACTTGTGTTTTATGTATTACAAGAACCTTTGCGTGTGGGCCTGGCTGACTCCTGTCCTGGCTTTCTAAGTGCACAAGTGTCTGCTGAGAGCTAGTGCAGGACACCATGCATGTGCAATGGAGGCCCACGCACGGCAGCTCGGGAGCCACAGTGACCCCAGCCTCCAGCAGCCCTGCAGCAACGCAGCTGTTGGATTTCTGCATAGGGAAGATGTTAACATAGTATCTCACCTAAACACTTTGTTATTTTAAAGTACTGCTAAAGAGAACACCAAAAATATGACACACAGCCTCTGTCCTTCAAGTCCCTTCAAGTTCAACTACGGGAACAAACAAACTCACAAAACATTAACTAGCAAGCAAAAAAAAAAAAAAACTATGAAAGAAGTTGAGATCTGATCATACAAAATATTTATTGAAATGAGCTCCAGAAAATGAAAACAAGAGGTTTCTCTCTTCTTCTTCTTTTTTTTTTTTTGTCGGTCGTGGGGCTTGAACTCTGGGCCTGGGCGCTGTCTCTCAGCTCTTCAGCTCAAGGCGAGCGCTCTACCACTTGAGCCACAGCGCCACTTCCAGTTTTCTGGTCGTTTATTGGAGATAGGAGTCTCTCGGTCTCTCCTGCCGGGGCTGGCTTTGAACCGCGATCCTCAGATCTCAGCCTCCTGAGTAGCTAGGATTACAGGCGTGAGCCACCAGCGCCTGGCTTCTTCTTTTTTTTTTGCTGTTTTTGTTTTCCTTTCTTTTTGTTCTGTGTTTATGTGTGTTGGGGAGTGAGTTGTAGGAGAGGTGCAGAAATGAAGGGGTAAAGGGTGAAAAAATGCAGCCATGGTGCTTAGTGGACACTCCTGAAAATGAGCTATGCAACTAGTGGTTAGGGACGGGAGGGAAAAACTGGGAGAGAGCAGGGGAAGGGGTGACACTGTCCAAAAATCAAATGTACTCTTTACCTGACTTCATGTAACTGTAACCCTCTGTCCATCACCTTCATCAAAACAATTAAAAATGAAGTTGAGACGACAAACTCTTGCGTTCCCAAGGAAGAGGATTACCAGAGAATGAGCAGTCTGGAGAAAGTGGTGCCTGGCAAAGCCCCGGCCAGCTGCCAGAGACTTGCTAGCCCTGTGAGCCCTGGAGACTCCTACCCGGGGCTGCAAAAGCACTGTCCTGACAGAGGGGGCACTCATGCCCACCTCAATGCAGTCCTACTGAGCACGATCCACAGTATGAAATACAAACAGAAAGATGGAAGGACAGAAGGAAGGAAGGAAGGAAGGAAGGATTCAAAGTATTGTTGAAGATTTAAAATGATAAAATACTGAAAAATGTGTGGCCATCATCTATCCACAGCCCGTCTCCGGCTCTTCATGTGCTCAGCCCACCACGTCACACCAGCTTGTTGGAAGAGGATCTCAGCTATCATGTGGGTGATATTGTTAATCTTTCAGTGTGCAGCTCTGAAGATAAAGATTTTCTAATGCCACAAACCAATATTTTAAAAAGTTCTTTATTTTCATCCGATTTCCGGTGAAGAAGTAAAAATCCCCCAATTGTTTCCAGTTTTAAAATACTTGCTCAAACAGGAGTCCCACAACGAACGTCTTCCACACTGCCTCTGTGTGTCACATCGCTTATACCTTACCTTAGGTCAGGGAAGGCCCCTGCAGTTTGGAGCAGCTGCTGATTTAAAGGTAAACTACATGATTTCTGCAAGGACCCTGATCCTATAGATCCTGTAGAATCATTTCTGATTCAGATCTCTATCCAGGTAAGGGCAATTAAAAACAAAGTTAGTAAGATCATACATGCCGGCTGTGGTGGTTCACACCAGCCATCTCAGGAGGCTGAGGCCTGAGGATGGAGGTTCAAAGCCAGCCTGGGCAGGAAAGTCCGTGGGCCTCTTATCTCCAATAAATTACTCCACCAAAAGCCAGAAGTGGAGCTGTGGCTCAAGTGGTAGAGTGCTAGCCTTGAGCAAAAGGAGCTCAAGGATGGGACCCAGGCCCTGAGTTCAAGCCCCAGGAGGAGAGGGGTAGTGGAGTGCAGAGATCATGTGTAACTGGGTAAGAGGTAAGAAGTACAAGCACACTTCAAATGGGCAAAGAAGTACCCTAAGAGACCACCAGAGAGACTGAGTGGTTTAGTCCTAAGTCTCAGCCAAGGGCTTTGGCGTAACTTGTGAAACTTTCACCTGGGCTGTTGGGAAGCCCTGTGTGAGCGAGTGGCCAGGCCATTGCCGGGCACAGGACAGCTTTCCCATCTCCCGCCCTCGCCGTGTCCCTACTCCTAAAGGCAAGGCTGCTGCTGCGGGATGAGGGATGGCTATTTGTCAAGTAAGTTACTAGAGCTCAGGCTCTGGCCACGGTCCCGTGACTGGTGCTCTGCCGCCTGAACCACAGCTCCACTTTTGGCTTTGGGGCGGTCCAGTGAGCACGAGGGTCTCCCAGAGGCCCGGGTTGGCTGAGAACCTGGATCCCCAGCGCTCGGCCCCCTGCGCTCCTCTCCTCACCCGTGCGGTGGCAGCTCCGAACGGAAGCCGCTCGCCCCGGACACGGGCTCCGCGGTTATCCCCAGTCCGGAAGAGGTGCGTGTGCGCGGGGCTGGCGCCGCCGGGGCAGCGGCCTGCGGACACCTGCGAGCCCGCGGGCGGCCGGGCCGCGCGGGGCTCCCCGCCGGGGCGCTGGGCGCACACGCTGACCTCGAACCGTGCCAACGTGACAGCCGCGCGCCCCGCCGCCCGCCCGGCGTCCGCGGCGCGCGAGTTATGCAACCGCGCGGGCGGCGGGAGTGATTTCCTGTGCTCCGGCTGCGCCACATTCACGAAACACGCCCACCGGGCTTCAATGGAAGCCGCTCTCCATTAACAAGCAGCGCCGCTTTCCCGGGCGAGCGCCGCGCGGGGCGGCGAGGTGGGGAAAGTAACTGCTCGGCCGGCCCGGCCCCCGGCCCACCCCCGCCGCGCGGACGAGGGCCCGCAGGGGAGCGCCCGCTGCAACGCCGGCCCGCCGCGCCAGGCCCGGCCCGGCCGAGCAGCGCACGCGCGCACACGCAGGACAGACTTTCCTCCGCGGCCTGCAGGTCCGGGCCGCCCGGACCTTCCACGCCGAGCCGCGCGCAGCAACAATGCGACCCCGCGCGGCGCCCGCGGGCCCGCCCCCGCCCCGCCCCGCCCCCTGGCGGCCAGCCCAGCCGGCTGCGCGCGCACGCACTCACGCGCGAGCGCGCCGCGTATCCCTCCGCCCGGGCCGCCGGCGGCCTGGGAAGCGGAGGAGGAGGAGGGGACTACTTTCCCGAAACTTGCGGTGCAGCCCACGACTTGGCCCGGCCGGGACCCGCCGGGGGAAGGGGCGCCGCCGCTCCGAGCCCGCCCGCCCTCAGCCCTCGCAGCCGCCCCGCGCTGCCCCGTCCGTGCCCGCGCGCCCCCGGCCCAGGCCCGCGTCCCCGAGGCGGCGCGGGGACTACTTCGCGTCCCGCTCCCCGGCGCCCCCGGCTCGGGCGGCGGAAGGAGCGGGCGGCGCGAGCGCTTCCGCCGCCCCCCTCGCGGCTCCCCTCGGCGGCGACAGGCGCTGCCCTCGGAGCTGCGGCTGGGCTCGGCTGGCGGGGCCTGCGGCCGCTCCCGGCGCTGCGCTCCTCTCCGCGGCTCCCGGGACCCCCGGCGCCCCCCTCCCCGGCGCCCGTCCGCCGCCGAGTCCCGCCCGGCCTCGAGCGCGTCCGGAGGAATCCGCGGGGCCTCAGGGCCGAGCGACCCGGGGATGGCGGGCTGCGCCCCCCGCCGCCCGCAGCCTGGGCTCGGCGCCCGCCCGGCGGCCCCCGCCGCGCGCATCCCCGCCGCCCGCCCGCCGCGCCCCTGAGGCCGCGCCGCCCGCCGCCCCCTTCCCCCCCGCCGGCCGTGCCAGCCCGGGACCCCGCGGCCGGGCGCTGCGCTGGGGCACAGGAGTGAGGCTCGCCGGGGTCGCCACGGCCGCGGTGGCCGCCGTCTCCCCCCTGCGGGGGTGGCCGGGGTCCCCGGCGCGGGGGGCGTCGCTACGGGCGAGGCGTCCAACATGGTGAAGCCGCTGGGCCGCTGCCCCTGCGCCCCCCCGGCCGCCGCCTGCCGCCCCCCGGTGCCGCTGCTGCCGCCGCCCCGCCTGCCGTCGCTCCTCCATCGCCAGACCGGATCGCGGTGAGGAAAGATGAGCGAGGAGACGGCGACTTCTGACAACGAGTAAGCGAGCGCCCGCGCCTTCCCCTCCGCGCCGCCCGGCCTGGCGCCCGGCCCCGGGCCGCTGGGCGCCCGGCGGGCTCCGGTGCCTGCTTTTGGGGGGGGACGGTGGAGGGGGACATTTTACTCGGCGGCCGCGGGCCCGCTCCGCCCTTGCGCGTCGCCCCTTCCTGCCGGGGAGGGCATCGCCGCCGGCGGGGCTCCGGGACGGAGGCGAGGCGTCGGGGGGCAGCCGGCCGAGGCTGCCCGGGCCCCGCCCGCGAGCGCACCCTCCTCCCGCCGCACCTGGCGAGCCCCCCGCCCGGCGGCGGGCGCGGGCCGGGGCGCCCTCCGTCCCCATCCCTGCGCTGGGCGACGCGGGGTCGGGGTTGCGCCTGCGTCCCCTCCCCCTCCGGCGTGGACCTCTGGGTGCGCGGGGGACACGGCGTTCAGGAAACGCGCGGGTCAAGGCCACCCCGGAGGGCGGGGGGCCGAGCCGCCGTCCGGTCCGCGCGGCGCTCGCGGGGCTCCCGCTCCCCGCGGGCGCAGAACTCGGGTTCCCCGCGCCGGCTCCGGAACGGAAACACCCTGTAGGCGGCTCTGGCCGGCTGGAGGTCGCCGAGCGCGTCGGTGACTCGGCCGCAGCTCGGGCGCTGGGGTCGGGGCCGGGCCTGCCCGCGGGCCCCTCCGGACGCGGGAACGGGGGAGTCGCGGCGCGGTGCCGACGGCTGGCGCCCTGGGGTTCGAGTTCCGAGCGGCCCGGCGAGGCTGCGGCGCGTTCCTCCGGACGGGCCGTCTTCGGGGACGGCCGCCGTCCAGGGAGGCCGGGCGGGCCGCGCCGCGGGCGAGCGGGCGAGGCGGCGCGGGGCCGGGCAGCGCCGGTGGCCGCCATGTTCTCGCTTTTTGTGAATCGCCCTCATTTGCATAGCACACTCTTCATTCATAAAAACATAATTAAACATCCATCACCTCGGCCGGCCTGGGAGGATCTTGCGAGCGCGGCCTCCCGGGCCTGTCCGTCGGTCCGTCCATCCGTCCGTCCGCAGGCGGCCTTGGAGCCCCGGGAGCGAGAAGAACTCCCAGTTTGAGATGAAACCCGAACGCACAGCGCACGCACACAAACAACACCCTGTTCTCAGAATGTTGACACAGTTATGTGGGAAATATCAGTGCGGGGAGGTGCTGGGATCACGTGACCGCCTCCATTCATAAAATACCTGGCTGTCCATTCACAGTGCAGCTCGCCGCCTGCCGCCTTCCGCGGAGCCGACCTGCAGGCGGGCGGGCGGCGCGGGGCGCGGGCGGGCGGGCGCCGGGGCGGGGGAGGCTGCGGCCGCGGCTCAGCCTCCGGCCCCCCTCGGCCGGCCGACTGCGATCGGAACGTGAAGATCTAGTTCGGGCGTGGGAAGGGGGGCCTGCCGGGCTCAGATTCGAAGCGGTGTTCCTTCGCCCTCTGCTCGCTGTTGCTGCTCTGGAAACACGGACGCCGGAAGCAGGTTGTTTTCCGTGCTTGCCGTGAATGGTGAATGAACTGAAATGCGGGTTCCGGGCGCGGGGATACCGGTGCGGTATCGCGGTTTCAGAACGTGAGAGAGCTCCCGTGGCCGGGCCGCCGCGGGGCGATCCCCAGGAGCCCGCAATACTCCGGGCTTTGGTAAGAACGATACCCCCAAACCCTTCCATTTTTATAAACCTGTTCCGTTCGAAGCTGATGTGTTCCTCTGGCAAGCAGGTTTCCTCCAGCCGACCTTGCTCGAGCACTAGCCAAGCCACCAAGAGTGAGTTCTTTGGAGAGCAGCTTTTAATCTGATAATTTATGTCTCGTCTGTAATACAGGAAAAGGAAGTTTATTGTTTATAGCCATGTACTTTGAGAATGAAATTTATTATTTATAATCATATGCAAGAAACAAGTGTTGTAAGGCAGGAGCCCATAGCTCTTGGAATAGTTTTTATACCAATGATAGGGATTCTATTTGAGTCTTAGACATATTTTCATTTTTATCTTTTTTTTTTTAGCCACAGTTCATAAGGATCTGATTTCAGTAGACTTTCTACCATTGCATCGCTTCTTTTTCACTTACAAAAAAATTGCAAATCACTATAATAATCTATTGGGGAAAAACGTTAATTTTTTTCTAGGTTGCATTTGGAAAATCAGTAAGGCCTTTAGAAGCCTCGTTTGAATTTATTTGAATTTAAAGTTCTATGTTAGTCCTAGGTGGTTTTTTTTTTTTTTAACGTTAGAGGATGTGTAAAGCTTTATCTTAAACAATGACAGACCAAATGAGATAAAAGGATTAGAATAGGATGAAATCCATACTGTTTCCGCTCCTTGCTTAAGGCTTGCTTTTCAAATAGCAGCCAAATAAATGCACTCTATCTAGAAAAATTCTTTGTTTCATATGTACAGGAACTAAGCTACATGTGATTTTTTTATTTTACAGAAATAGTTTCATGCCTCAGAGGTTCTCATTAGATAAATCTACCATATTTATTATGCATGTTGGGTTAGCCTTTTAAATAGATTTTTTTTGAACTTTATTTTAATTAGGTGCACAAAGATGTTTCACTTCCAGTCAGATTATGAGGACAATGTTAAATAGAATTTAAACTATTAAAGGCATATTACATAATGAGGAAATGTCTCTGTGCTTTGTTATTGAATGAATATAGCGGTATGTGTTCTCAGCCAGTTTGACCAAAGCACTTGAAGAAAGGAAATAGCTGAAATATTAAGCATTTTACTTACTAGCTGACATTATCCAGAAACAGCCTTTCTGATAGCAAATTGGGATTATATTAAGTTTTAGAACTAGGTTAATTAGAGTTAGGTCAATTGTGATAAACTTGATATGGTGTAATCTGGGTTAGAACTATAAATCAAAAGCAGATTTTTATCGTATCGTTTAGTGCCTCATTGAAAGTGTAACCTATGATGGGTTAGTCCAAGGATGTGTGCGACTATATATTTACATCTGTACACCATGAATGTATATGTATAAATATTTGGTGAATGTGTTTATATATATTTGTGTGTATGTGTAGAGTTGGAAAGTATACTAGAAATGAATGGAAACTAGAAATCTGTGTAACATTAAATACTGTTTATATAGATGTAGGTGCATAAAAATTGTTTAGAATTCAATCAGTCTATGTAAATATGAGCTAAATGACTGCTCACCTGCTTTAGCTTCATTTCCATCTTCTTTCTGGCTTAAAACTTGACAGTCTTGAATTGTGTTTTTGAAACACTATTCTGGCCTGCCTGAAATGATCTCTCCCCAAACAACTTCCCTGCAAGTGATCATTTTTCCTCAGATCCCTTTCTTGTTTACACTAGACTGTCCATACTCCACCCTGTCCTTCCTCCCTCCTGTATTATATTATGACCTTCACACCACAAGCAGAAAGGCATGGCAATATACAACTGTCCCAGCTACCTTGGAAGCTAAGGCAGGATCAAATAAATGCCCTGGATTTGAGACCAGCTTGACATAGAATTTGGGATCCTATCTCAAAACAAACAACCAAGAAAGGAGAAAGGGCTACTAACCCCAACATTAAAAAAAAAAAAAAACCATAGAATTACATATTCTGGTTATTCAAAATTCATGTTTTAACTTTATCATCCTAGGAAACACTATTGGAAGGTTTTCATTTGCTTAATTATGTCAAAAAATAGCAATATTTAAAACTAACAAAATGGGGGCTGGGAAGGTGGCTCAGGGGTAGAGTGCTTGCCTTGCATGCATGAGGCCCTGGGTTCGATTCCTCAGCACCGCATAAGCAGAAAAGGCCGAAAGTGGCACTGTGGCTCAAGTGGTAGAGCGCTAGCCTTGAGCTGAAGAGCTGAGGGACAGCGCCCAGGCCCAGAGTTCAGGCCCCATGATCATACCCCCCCCAAAAAAAAAAAACCTAACAAAATGGTTGGGTGCCAGTGGCTCAACTCCTATAATCCCAGCTACTCAGGAGGCTGAGATCTAAGGGTCGCAGTGCAAAGCCAGCCTGGGCAGTTAAGTCTATGAGACTATTTTTTTGTCAATCGTAGGACTTGAACTCAGACTGGGCCCTGTCCCTGAGCTCTTTTGTTCAAGGCTAGCACTCTACCACTTTGAACCACAGCTCTACCTCTGGGTTTTGACTGGTTAACTGGAGGTAAGAGTCTCACTAAGACTTTTCTGCCCAGGCTGACTTTGAACCCAGATCTCAGCTTGAGACTGTTGTCTCCAATTAACCACTAGAAAGAAAACTGGAGGTGGAGCTGTGACCCAAAGTGGTAGAGCATTAGCTCTGAGCTATAAAAGTTCAGATAGTACCCAGGCCACCTTGAGTTCAAGCCCCATGACTGACAAATTAAATAAATAAATTTTACAAAATGTACTGACTGGCACAATGTCAACCACTGTATTACTTCAGAAGAGATAAGGACCCATAATGATGCTTAGTTCAAGAGGTCTGATAATAAGCAAGCTAAGGCTTAGAGACCAAGGCCTACAAAGGCCTTCACTTGTTCAGGATTTGTCCAGAATTAAGAAGAAAATGTGTCTCCAAGTCTCAAATTTAATGCTCCTTGACTATACCATACTGTATAAAAGATAACTAAGAATTAAATATACACAAACGGTTTAGGAATGCTCACTTTAATCCTATTTGTAATGTTTTTAAAAAGTCCTACCTCCCAAAATTATTTTGCCACCCAGCACTTTTAAACACAGGAACAAGATTTCATTTTCCATATTCAAAATTAAGAAGGGAGGGGGAAACATGAACTTGTGTGGACAGCTGAACATCAGTGGCTCATGCCCATAATCCTAGCTACCCAGGAGGCTGAGATCTGAGGACTGCTACAGGAAGCCAGCCCAGGCAGGAAAGTTCCTAACATCCTTACCTCCAATAAACTACAAAAAAAAAAAACTACAAAAAAAAAACTGACAGTAGAGTCTTGACTCAAATGGTAGAGTGCTAGTCTTGAGCTGAGGGATAATGCCCAGGCCCAGAGTTCAAGCCCCGAAACTGACCAAA